ACTGTACAACTGCAAAATCATTTTCCATGCACCTTGAGGGAGGTGGCAACAAATGAACTCCAACTTTTAGACCCACCTAAGGGTTCATGCAGGCAAGACCTTCAAGATGTGTGGGTTCAATAGTTACACTCATGGTTTTTATGTGATCGTGGCCAAGTTACTTAACTCTGTGTTTCAGTCTCAGTTGTGCTCTGGAAGTGATAACAAAAGCCAATTTGTTTTTGCAACTGTTTATTTTTGCAAAACCTGAAGATTGCTCAATACTTTCCTGTTTATTTTGTTTTTTGAGAAGATAGAGATAAGGGAGAATTTTCCACTGGGAAGAAATCCAACATACAGCCTCAGACCAAGATGACATTAACCAATCTGCTAGTAAAGCTTTGACTCAAATTATGGGAACAATAGGCCCTCAGGACTCCCATGGGTCCTGTTTCCCCAGGAGACAACACCTCTGCAGGCACAGCGTGTGGGCCACAGTGGGCAGTCTGAGGAGTCGTGTGATTCACAGCAGTGGCCCAAGCACAGGCAGAGGCTCCAAGGAACTGAGGCAAACAAAGGGATTCATGTAACCGTTTTCATTGTGGGTGTAAAGATGAAACTTTCTCAATTCACCTAATTGAGAAAGGGTCTTTAGACCTGAGGATCTTTAGAATTTGTCATGTTGGGTCAATTTTCCAGCTCAATCAAAAAGTAACATGGAAATACCTAATTTCCAAAAAAACCACCATTTTTTTTCTTTTTCTTCTAATTTTCTCTCATATCATTTGTTTCTTCTCTCCTCCTACACCTGCAAATCTAGGCTTTCTAAGGAATGTCCTAATCCTGCATGTTATAGCATAGCAATGCTTTCCTCTTGGCTGGAGCTTAGAGGAGTGATGCCAAAATAAAAGAAAAAAAAGAAAGAAAAATTAAATTAGCCAAGTATTGAGCTTATCGCAAAAGGGAGAATGAGAGACATTAAACTTAAGAAAATCCAGGTGTATGGAACGGGTATATACTGCCTTAATTGAAACCAAGAAACATTCTAATTGTTACAAAATGCTAATAAGCAAAACCACCGGTTCCTTAAATGAACATTTTACTAAATCACAGGCATTTAATTTCCTCTCATGCATTTCAATAGCATGCACTGCCTGAAAATAAAGCACTAAAAGAAATGCGAAGATTCTGTTTACCAAAAAAAGATTTGTTGAGACAATTAGAGTTTTTACAAAGTGATATTTTAAAATATTATCCACCAGTTAAGCACAGCGAAAGCACATAATTTGGCACTAATTTGTCTCTAGCTCAAAATAGAAGGCACATTTCAGTAAAGTGTCTTTAGTAACCTTAGCAAGGGAATGTAAAGGAACTCCTCGTATGACTAAGAGGATGGAAAAACCTGGCACTTTGGGAAGCCCAGGGATGCAATATCCCTATATTGCTAATCAGAGCAACTTCATAAGTGCACTTTTTAAAGAACTGCAACTGATTAACTGATAATTAACCAGTGGAATTGATTTTTATTTCAGCCCATCAGCCCACACCTTGGTAGGACCATTTAACCTAAGGACAGATAACTTGTGTGCGATTTGGAAAAGCGGAATTGTGGAACAGAATTAAGACATTTTGCCTAGAATTACTCTGGAGGGTTTAGGTTAGTTATCTATGTTTGGTATGACCTTCATGAAATAGAAACCTTTTTGCTTTCATTTTATTCCTCTGACTGGGCAATTGGAATATCCCTGGTCTTTCTGCTAAAACGTCAGAATGGCCCTTGAAGCAAACTCAATTCCAAATTTGCCTACAGATTTTCTCAGGACAAATTATTCTCACTGAAGGACAACCTCATTTCTTACCTTTCTTTCCTACTGAAAAAGATGAGTGAGTAACCCTTCCCCATTTAGCCTTGGGAGCTATTCAGGCACTGCAGTGACAAATATCACCATTTCATTGTGGCTCAGTATTAAGTATTCAGACTTTTCAATGGTTCAGTACAGGTGTGAATTGGCATTCACTGTTTGCTAACCAGTCTTCCATGTCCTCTGTCCACAAAACCTTAACAACTGAACTGGCCCTGCTTTATTCAGAAAATTGAGTTATTAATGTATGGGGAAATGTATGCCCTGAGAATATTGGCACAGACAACATGAACACTGACTAGCTTTTGAGAAATTAAGTCTGTATTCAGGCTGAGACTGCAGGTTCACAGAAATGAATGGCCAAACCCTCAAATAACGTCAAAAAAAGCATATTTTTCATCTCAGTGGTCAAATTCAGTGCTTCAAATTCATTGAAGATACATGAACTATTACACACACATTATTCCCTACAAGTTGAAGTTCAGCTCTTAATCTTTTTACAAACCTAATGCAAGTAACAATTTTAGTGAAGCTACACCAACAACTGGAAAACAAAGCAATGAGAGTAGGTCCTTTGCTATAGCATAAAATGAGTGATAAATAAAGCCTTACAAACTGTCTAAGCCAACCCAATAAAAGCATTGCTGTGCAGAAGACTGGTAAAAGTCTAGCATAAGCTTAGGAAAGATAAATGTGAAACAGTACAGACATCTCAACTGTGCAAGGTTTATAGCAGTGTAACGTATATCTCAGCAATATAAAAATATATTTAATCAAATCTACAGAAAACTGCTTTATGAAGGAATGTTGTATTGTGTTCTGACTCTACTCTTCCACCGAGTATTTTGCTTCCACAAGTCACTTCCACACACAAGAAACAATTCCTTTTTCAACCTTTACCCAAATTCTTTCCCATCCATTACAATATAAAAAAATTTAACTTCCCTCTTTTAGACTTTACAGAAGGGTTTTTGCATCTTCTGAATAGAGATTGATCTGATCAATGATGGCAGGCTGCTACAAGGACACTGACACGTGTGACACCCACAGAGACTACCCCCATTTCCTGGGAAGGCTGGTGTAGTTTCCTCAGTCATCTTCATTTTCACTTTACCATTTCCTCATGCTTTCTCACAAGGTATCTCAAGTACCTTGCTAGAGGACAAATCTTACAGATCTAGATTTATCTTAATTTTCTATAAATAGTCATTCTCACCAGCTGTGTTTGCTGCTCTGCTGGACTATGCCATCTCACAGCAGGCCCCGAAGTGCTTCAGCTCCATTAGAAGGAGTTTAGTCATGCATAGGATCTGGGGATGAAATACTTACCAAAATCTCTCCTACTCCTTCACAACAACAACAACAACAAAAAAACAAACGAAACAAACTCACAAGAAAAAAAACACAGTGCCTGAGCATCTGCTTGCACACCCCTGTCAGCTATTTCAGGGCAGTGTCACTCACCAAAGGTAAGCCCAGATCCATCAGGCAAATTTGGCTGCCCAAACACTTCCCTTCATGATTCTGAATATTTTATGCACTCTTTCTTTTAATATTGACCTTTGTAATTTGACTTCTCTTCACTGTAAGTTCAAAACTGCTCCTTGGTTCTGGTAGGGAATTGCTTTTTCACAGCAGCATCCTGAGGCACACCAAAGTAACAAGGAAATTCAACCAGGCATGCTCCTCTTTGCACTCCTTGCTTGCCAACAGGAGTCAACAAAGTGCTGCTGCCAGGAGGCCAGCTGAGATGAACCACCTGTAGTAGCAATGCCTGAATTCTGTATGCCCTTGAGCACACAGAGGACACATTTGTCCCATTCCTGGAAGTGTTCCAGGCCAGGCTGGATGAGGCTTTTAACAACCTGGTCTAGTGGAAGATGTCCTTACCCATGGCAGAGGAGTTGGAACAACATAGTCTTTAAGGTTCCTTCCATCCCAAATCAGTCTATGGTTCTATGTTTATTTGAAGGCTGTAGGTCCATCTGATGTTCTCAGAGCATCATGGTTGCTCTTCTTTCCATGGATGACCCATTCCATCCAGAAGCCCACACTTTCAAAGCATCAAGGCTTTGTACTGGGCAAAGCAGTAATAATTTTGATGAGCCTGACAGACAGTGCCATGAACCTGCCTGGTGAATCCATTTGATGCCTGGTCCACAAAGATATACCAGATGAGAATTTTTCTAAGAGAATAATTTAACAGAAAGAATATACACTTTGTATTTTTTTTGCCAACAAGTGATGAAAATTAAATCACAGAAATTTTATTAATTCTCATTCTGCCTACAAAAAACACCCAAAACTAAACAGACAAAAAAACCATTGGAAAAAATAAAGAAAGTGACGTTCTCATGCAAATAATTTAGTAAATATAAAAGATTTGTTTTGTGCTTAGCAAACACCCAAACATTAAGGAGTAGGTGTATCTTACATACTGAACGGGAATCCTCTCTGTGTTTAGGATCCAAAAAGGACCTCGGACCTGTGCACTGATGCTGAAAGGGTGAAAGAATCTGAGAATAACATGAACATATACAAAGTGGGAAATGAGATTTATGTGTGAAAGTCAAAGCCAGCGTCTTGCCCTTTCAAGCAAATTGCATTTGCAGGAAAAAATACATCCCAGTACTTAGTTCATACAGAATTCAATAGGTTTCTACACATATACATGGGGACCTGTTTACATAAACTCCGATGAGGAACACGAACATGGAATAATAAGAATAATAGATTTCTATTCTTAGTATTGAATCACTAATAATGAAGGAAATCAGTGCAGTGAAATTTCTTTTTCAAATACAACAAACACCATTCCAAACTCATCATGAATTTTTCTGCCCAAGGCTGAGTGGGGAGAGACATCATCTATTTTCATTCCATGTACAATTCTTAAAAACAACATTGTAACTGAATGATTCAGAAATAGTGAGTCTTGGAGCAGTTATTTTTCCCAGTGCTTCAGAATAATGTTTCAAAATCCCAACAGAAAGCCCCCGTAAAAATGCAGGGGTCCAACAGTATATAGCATCAGTAAAGGTCTATGGTCTAACAGTCTCCATGCTCTCCAACTGAAGCTTTCTGGGTTTATTTGCCCTAGAAGTTGTCTCTACTTCCAGCCCTCCAATGCAGGCATGTCAATAGGCAGGTTCCCCTCCTCTGGCACAAGGTTCCTAGGAAGCATTAAAGGAGAAGGCATCAGGAAGCTATTTCTACTGCTTCCCCAGCCTCTGCTTAGCCTACCAACACCATGCAAGCAGCCATTCAAGCTTCTTGCTGTTACTCTGGTTCCTCCTGTCTCTCCTGTTAGCACGTGTCACAAGGATGTACGCCAGGGAACTGCCACTTGGCCACTTCCAACTCTCATCATCGGGCTCTCACAAAGATACTCACACTTTACCTCTTGTTAAAGCCCAGCTAGTACTTAAAAGGACCCCAGTAAATTACTTCTTTCAACAGTTCTTGAAAGTATCTGACTTTCTTTCTGTGTTTTTCCCCCTGCTCTCTTTATTAACTTCACCTTCTAATTAGGTCCCATGAAGATACATCTTCTCGTTTAACTTAAAAGGTTCATTGACCCTCTGGCGTACTGTTATAACCCATAACCTGTGAGTACAGTAATTAGGACATTATAAAACACTGAGCTGATCTGCACACTTCACATTCAGGGGAAGAGACGTGTGCTGCGTTGCAAAGAGAGCCGGCTGAAGCAAGAGAAGCCCAAAGTGAAGTAAAAATTAATATTTAAAAAAAGAAAGTGGGGATTATTCATGGGAAGAAGAGATTGATTGGAGCAACAAACTTCAAGGAGAGATGCTAAGGGCAGCACTCAATTTGCTTCAAGAAAGCTCCAGGAGCAGTAAGCAATAAAAGACAAGCAAAAGGTAGGAGAAGGAAGGACAGTAATCACTCTCTGACTTTTGTAACACATTCCTACCACAGCAGACTGGCTGTAACAGAGCACATGATAAGAAACTAGTCGAGAGTCAGCTTTTGTCACATGTTGCTCCTAGTGTGACCCGTGAGACAAAGAAGGACCCAAACTGTCTATATTCATACAGTCATGTAACTCCACAAAGATATTCATGCAAATTCAATAGGTCAACTTGATCATCAAGGAAATAATAGCACCTTTCCTAAAATGTTTTTCTTGTGAAGACAACTGGCTCATTTTATTCTTATTTACTATTACATTGTTTTTCAGCCAATAAAAAAAGAATGTGTCAAAATGTCTGACAACACTAACCACCAAGAGACAGATGAAACTGCAGATACAAGCCAGTGTTATACATCACTGTGAGTATGAAGCAGGATTTCAAGCACTTTTTTCAGACATCCCTGAAAGTAATGGTTTATGAACCACATCCTTGGGTTTTTAATCAACACAGATATACTGCCTTCAACAGGAGTACACTGCTAAATATATGTGTACTGATGTACAATATGATACACTAAAACAAGTATATCATGCTTAGATCTATGTCAAAGTAAAAAACGCATTAAGTGTGTACATGGAACTGTATTTGTACCAATGGAGAATGTAGCTCATTAAATTGCTAGATTTAATGACAAGATTGTTAACAGTACAGAGATATCTGCAAAATCCTTTGGATCATCCTGGATTATCTCTTCAGCTTTTCCTCTTACATAATTTTTAATTTCCTTGTCAGTTAATCCTGTTATGGAAGTGGTTTTGAACAAACACTTTAATTTTTGCATGTTCTAAGTGGTATATGATGCAAATTGATTTCCATGATATCCCTTTTCTATTGTGACCCTTCACCATTTAAGCTCTGCAATAATATTATATAATGGAGCCCACACATCATCCTTCCCTCTTTTATAACACAGTCACATCACAGCATGTACTTTTACGAGCACCTCAGAAAAATGCCTTGCTGGTTCTAAAACCCACACACAATTCTTTTTCCTTCTATTTTTTTTTCCCACAGAGATTCTGATTTGCTTCTTCAACATCAGTTATTTATCCCTGTAGCAGCCTGAAAAAATAGGCAATGTTAGTCTCTCTTGTAAATCCTGAATAAGCGATGTTAACGATTACAGTTTACAAAACCGTTGCTGCTGGAGACACCTCAAAGTTCATCAATGAAATAAAGTGCGCCTTAAAGTCTAGTGCTATTCCTATTAATCAAAGCTTTTCCACTCTATAGAAGCAGGCCTGCTTTGAGAGTATGTGTGTCTGGGGAACTCAGCTTGCTGTAATTCCATAAACATTCGTCTTCCCTGCAGAATCATGAGGCCGAAGGGAATCAATCAGGTATGATACAACCTGCAGTAAAAATGCTGAGATCCAGTCCAGTGACTTAGGGGCACACCTTCTACCTTGCCAGGAGGGTGTTTGTGAAGCTGGTCCCTTAACACAAAGACCCTCATTTCATGTTTGGCCAGTAGAAAGAGAAAAGGCTATGGTGATGTACAAACAAACTTTAATGCAAGTTCAAAAACCTTTCTTCTTTTTTTTTTTTAATTCTCCATTATATTAGAATATATAACGCCACTACATCCACAGTGCACCTAATGGTTTTAAAGGAAGGAGTTTCTGGAAGAAACAGCTATTCCAGTTTTTCTTTGACCATATTCTTTCTCTCAAATATCATGTTTATGAACCATGCTTTGTTTTCACATGTGGTAGAAAAGCTTTTTCTCTAGATGGCAATCATTAGATCCAGGTAAGCGTGCGATGATAATTTTGGTATTTGCTTGTTTAAAACAGAGTTCATGCCAATGATAAACAAACCTCAAAGCAAAAGGGAATGTTTGTGCAGATTCCAGTACTCCATCTCTCTCCAATGGGCTGCTACCCAGCCTTTTCACAATCAGCATAAGAACTCACATATGTTTCCATTTTGTTTCCATATTTTCCTTTTTGTAAACCAAAGAGGTTCATAAGAGATTATGCAATGAAAGACATTTTCTCTGCTCATCCAGACCTGATCTCCAAACATGATAAAATATTGCAAATAATTGGAACTATAAGAGCCAACTCTCACCTAAGCTGTCAGAAAAGATGGAGAAGCACCTGCAAAGGACTAAGGGTATTTGGAAGCATGCCAGAGGGATTAAACAAGGAACAAGAACTGCGTGGTCTTTGAAGGAGATAGCAAAGAGGAGAAAATAACGAAGAGAACGACAGCATAAATAACGTTTCAGAGCTGCAAGTGTCATAATCAGGTAAAAGGGAAAAAAAGATGGCTTTGGCGATCTGTGTGCTTATAGCTTGAAGGGAGATCAGAGAGCGAGTGCTATCATAGACAAGGAAGGATGTAAAGGGATCTGGAGGAGAAGATTTAAAATTGTTTCTGTCTGAGTTTCCTCACTGTAGAGTTCAGAGCTTTGGTGTTCTAGCCTTATTGAGACCATCATCATAATAATATAAGCACCAATAATAACCATTTCTGCTCCTCCTGTTTTTAAATCTCACATTTCACAGTTTAAAAATTCATCATGGTCCATTTACACAGCAGGTGCAACAAAAAAAGCTACCCTTGAGTTTCTATTCTCCATTAACCTTGCCAGCAAATGAAATCTGTGCCAGTTTAGGAAAACATAACATTTTTTTCTGGCTGCAGGTAGAGAAGGAGGAGAGGAACAGGTAGCAACAACCTTGTCTCTCTCTTGGTTTGGGGTTCATGCCAGCTGCATTGTTTGTATTTAGGCTTTGTTTTCTGGCATTTTCCCTTTAAGCATATATCTCTATTAACACAAACACATTATGAGAAGACTACAAGGTTAGATTTACGAAGTCAGCAACTCAAATGCACTGGAACACCAAAATTTGGGTTGTCTTCAAAAATAAGTATCGGGATGCATAGAACTGAAGCACCATCTTACACAGCCACCTCGGTTTATAATCTCCCTAGTTAAAAGTAACCAATGTCTATATCCTACGTGAACCAGCTACTACCAGAGACAAGAAATGTAGTTGGATAGTGAGCTTTGCAAGCATTTTCCAGCAGCAAAGAAACTTGTCTTCTGCTCTTTTTGGTTGTGGGGTGTTCAGTATCCTCAGGTTTCAGCCATTCTCCCTCTCATTGCTTTCCACTCATTTTCTCTGTACACCTGCCCCGGCACCTCACCCCTCTCTGCTCTGCTTCAATACCCAGCCTGCTCTGGATTGTGTTTTCACTGAGATACAACCCCACTGGGGTACTGCTACTTCACCTCCTGGGTCTCCCACTGTTTCTCCCACCCTGGTATGCCCATCCTGTTTTGTGCCATTTCTTTTTTGCTTTCTGATCACTAAGACTTGCACACAAAATTCCTCCTGGGCCATAAAGGAAGCACCAGTCTCTGGGAGCTCCCCATTCCTGATCTGTATTTCTGACCCTGTCTCCATTCTTCCCTACCTTGTTCCTGGCAAAGATGGATATTCTTTTGACACTACACTTTCAGGGCAAACAAAATATTTTTTCCTTAATTTTATTCTTGGAAACAGGTCTCTTACTTCAGCTGAAATAGAGAAAAAGTCTTGAAAGGAAAAGGCTGCTTTTAGAGTCTTGCACTGTCCTTGCACTGATAGCCTGCCTAGGAGATACAATCCAGTCCTGTGTTGTTCAGATAATTTTGATAATGTTTAAGTTAGATTATCAGAAAAAAAAATTAATGGGAGCACACTAATTTGAATTCAATCAGTAAATGTTCTTGAGTGAGTTCTTTCAAAGCCTTTTTGGTCAACAGTAAACCATGTTTATGAACTCTGATCACAGATGAATTTCATGACAGGTGATTTTTTTTTTATTTATTTTTTTTTTAGAAAAAGGAAACATGAGCTTCTGTTTGTTCAGCATGTCTATAGTCCCACTTCTGGGAGCCAACATAGTCATACTAATATATCACTGTCACTGTTTGAAAAACAGCCCCAAATTTATGGCAGGCGCCAAACCCTAAAATAAACATATAACAAACAGTTCTGGGAGCAGTAGAAGCAGCAAAGCCTGATTTATTACAGATGAATTACGGCTGAATTTGCTAACAAACTAAGCTGTGACCAATGCTTTTGCCTTGGTTGAAACAGTCAAAACATCTATTTCACCTGTAGTCTCCCTAGTGCAATCGGGGATGTGCTCATGTAAGTCTATCCCTTACTGGTCCCTTTGTTTTACCTAGTCACTTAGCAACTTCAAACCCATTGGAAAATGGTGTATCTAAGTCCTCTAAAATTCAGCAAACCACCTTGAAAGTCATTGGAGGAATTATCCATATATCTGTATTCTGTACACACAGAGAAGAGGGAACAATAAATCTTAAACCTATGCAGTAAACTAGATATTTTTCCATAATTTTCCAAGCATTGACAAAACTTTCGTTTCTTAAATATGTCTATAATATCCATTGATTCTGTAGATCATACCTGAGCTATTTTTAGGTCATAGAAATATAAAATTCAAATTGTAATATGAGGGATTTGCAATACCCTAGTGAGAAATAACTGTTTATTGAGGAATGTGTCAAAGCCAGCCTTTGATGCCACTGACTGCTATTACATGTTTATGCAGCAAAGGCACACACAATCTGCTGTGGGGCACCTGTATTGGAAGCTTCTGGGTCAAACAACTGAAAAGTCTTTCAACTTGGTTTTCACTTTGTTTCTTAAATGTCTTAGTGAGAATATCCAATATAAAAAATTTAATGTGATTTCTCCAGACTGCAGGAGGTATATGAAAACTGATGGCACATTCCCATGAGTACAGTTTACACTACAGGGAACAAACGATTCCAAAAGTCAAAGACAGTGAAGACAAAGACCTCCTAATGTGAGGGACCAGAGGTGAAAATTAGTGGGGAAATAAGCAAGGGGAAAATAAAGAACTGATAAAACAGATAGAATAACACCAAATCTCTGAATAATCTACACCCTCCAAAAATGCAAACAGTTCTTTGAATTAATGTGGTCATGTAGAATACATATTGCTATTCCACCAGCCCATGTGAATACAGATTTCAACCCTAGGAAGAGTATGTTCTTTCAGGGTGCTCACTGGTAGCTGTTTGAATACCTGTTCTGTTTATCCTATCTTATCCTATCCTATCCTACCCTATCCTATCCCATCCTATCCTATCCCATCCTATTCCTCTTACATCATACTTATCATTGCATGTTGTCAAAATCTTTCAGCTGGATGTTACATAACATGACTCAAAACTGTTCCATACAGTAATCACAAATTTGCAGCAATTATTTTATTCTCTGGAGAATGTTTTCCTGAAAATAAAAAAAAAAAACCACAACAAATTCATATTACACTGACTAATTTATATTTATTGAAAAATTAGGATAGTTTCACAAAATACAGAGTGAATCCTTGTGTTCCTGAAACTACAATTCAGTGAGACAGAGAGCAGCTCTTGGAGTTGGCGCTGGTCTCCAGAGATAACATCCCCACAGCCATCCCTATGGTCAGAAAATCCCAGCTGGTAGTTTTGGTGATTTTTGTAGATCAGACACCAAAAACTAGTTTCATAGAGGCAATTGAAAGGTTCAAAATTAACCACCATGTCTTATTTGAGTGTGCATTTTCTTCTTGATTTCAAGAGGAAGTTCTGGGTGGAAACTGGACATCTAAAAGTGCCTGTGGCTCTGACCTCTACTGACTGTAGGTTATAGGTTAGAATTGTGTTCTTTTTCTGAAAGGTATCTGAAAGCTGTCCCTCCAGAACCAAAATGGCATTGTGTGATTTTACTCTGAAGTGACTGCTAGGGAGAAATGCCATCCATTTAAACTTCAGTATTTGCTGTTGTTTCAGAGTTTCACAGCTGCGCACTTCCTGACTCAAGCACATTTGACCTGCAAGTCCTAATGATGCATAGCCCAAAGTGATGTGACCTTTTTGACTAGATCTCAGGGTCCCAGTATAACAAAAATGACAAAAAAGATAGCTATGAAACTAAATAAAGAGCTCAAAGTTAAAATTTCTCTTTTAAGATCAATGAAAAGGTTTTATTTGAAGAAGTTATTGCCCATTTCTGTGAATAATGAGGCTGCTGCCAGAAACCTAAGAGATATGTCCCCCCAGGCCATGGTATAGAACTAAAACCAAGTGAAAGAGACTACAACATATTAATTAGTCAGTGGACTTCCAGCTTCTCATTAACAGTCTCCACTGAAGTTTCAGTAATTCCTAAGCATTCCATAATAAAATAGAACCCACTCCAAGGATCCAAGCATCAACAGATTAATTCAGTGAACTTCTGACCCTAGTGTGAGGATTGAGTTCTAATCCTAAATCTAAGGAAGATTAAGGAGGAAAATTCCATAAACACACAAAGGCCAAGACAAAACCAATCAACCAACCAACCAACCAAAAAACAACAAGGCAAGGCAAATTTTTTATCATAGGTTGTTGCAAAAACTACAGGAGTTGGATTGCCTGATGCCATTAAGAGATTTTTCAAAGGAATATGATTACTACCATCTACAAATTAGTCTTTTGTGCTGAACTTCCCTGAAACATTTGTTTTGTTCTCTTTCCTCTTTTTCTTCCTTTTGACTTAATACATATAAAATAAAGGGTTTAGTTAGTGAAGAATCAAATACTTTAAATTTGCTGAGACATTCTGAAGACTCCATGTCTCTGGTCAGATGCCAGAAGCCTTGAGTTTCAATTACTTTGCATCTTGTGGTGGACAAAGATTTCAGTTGTGTTATGTCAAGGCTGAAGTGTGAACATATTAGACATATTACCACTCTTTAGACACAAGAAAATCTACAAGTCAAGGAGCAGAGAGGTAGAGGAGGAGGTAAAAAGGAAAAGACATGCATCAGAGTGCCTGACCACTCTCTGCCCAAATTCTCCAACTTTAGTCTGAAGTTCTCTCCCTCAAAACAGGTCTCTCCCATGTGGATCTTCAGGAACTTTGCCAGAATTAAACTCTCTATGTACTCCACTGCTCTGTCAGATGTCACTGAGTCACCGGGGGCTGCAAAGTTACTAAGGATGGGCAGGACACATGTGCATATGAACCACTGCGGCATAAATCTTTTCCTTCAGAAAACCAGGCTAAGACTAAATCCTTTGACGTGCGTTTTCTATGACATACTGCCGCTTAGTCATGAGGAAGTGATGCAGGACAAGAAGGAGTTCTCTTTGGGAGCCACATAAATACAGTTTCCTAAGAAATTTTATAGTACATTCAACTACTGTACATTTTTCTAAAAAGTCCCATTTCTTTGAAAGACAAAAATCAGGAAAATATTTTTCTTTTCCCAAGAGTTCCACTTTTCATCTTCAGCATGGCGTTAAAAGTTCACGAGGATAAAAAAAGACAGCAAAAGGCAAAGCAAAGCAGTAAGTCTGTGCTGCTTATTTTAATAAGCAATGCTACTGTTCCAGTATCCATCTGGCTAAACAGTCCCCTATTTTGAATGTTAGCATCACAAGTTTCCAAGAAAAAAAAAGTAATTCTAAAAATTTTAACATTAAAGGAGAAAAAGCGTACACACTACGAGACCCAGTAAGAATGCAATATTCTGGTAACTTTGAATTAGATTTGCCATAAATTAGAGGGTTATAGAAAAATCTATTTCAGGAAAGGCTGAGTTTCTCCTTAACAAAAGATACATCCACTTTTTTTTTTTGCTAAATTAAGTCAGGATAACCCTATAAGGGCTCTTCATCAGTATTCTGCTGATAAAATGCTATTTATGCAAGCAGTGAAGAGCTAAGGAAATAACAAAGGTCTCAAAGAAATATAAAGAAAAACCCAGTGACTGTACTAGAGTTGTCCTCTCACCTGCACAATGCAAGTTTGCACATTACTTTTCTGTATCTCATCCTCAGTGCCAGGGATTTATTCAGTGCATGGAAGTATGAAGACAAACAATGGCTTTTCTCACCTCTGCAGAAAGCAGCTCCACAACTGCAATGAGAGTGAGGGAGGATTGAGTTTTAACTTTAATTCTCCTGTGCCAAACAAAGAAGTCGCAAAACTTTCTACAGAAGGTGAAGAATTTCTCAGTAAGGGAGAAACAGCAGCTTATGTCAGTTTATACTCAGTATCTATTTTTGCCCATATTTTAAAAGATTTTGTTAATGATCCTACTTTAAGTCTGAAAAAAAAATCAAGCTAGGAATAGAACAGTATAGAGATATCAAATAGATCATCTGGGGTGTCTACCTACAATTGAACATATTTTCATTATTGTACAATATACTTCAAAGAGACAGTGTCTTACACTGAATTTGCAGAGGAAAAGGAAGAAATTATGCTTGATTAATAAATGTTCTTGACTGAGCCATTTAACAGAACAGGACATAGAAAAAGATCTTAGTATTCTGTTAACAAGTTCACAAAAATGCAGTGAGGGTAACATCTGTGAGCCATATAAAGTAGGAGGCAGAGAAATAACAAATGAGACAGATGCAGTCAGACATGGCAAGACTCATTGGCAGGATAAATTATTCCATCTAACCATCTCTATCTCAGGGACCTACAGATCTCCCATGGTCTTTAACTTTTTTTTAACTGGTTTGGAATCTTTCATTTTTATTGTGTGTTGCAGCACTGTGAACATACTATAACTCATATTGAGGATAATTTGATTAGGATTTTTTTTTGTTAAATTTGTTTTCTGTAAAATGAAACCCACAGGGATATTAGATGCATTAATCTAAACAATTACCAGTATTTTTTAACCAGTTGAATGCAATTTTGTCAATTTGGTAAAGATGAGTAAGACTACAATAAAAAGAAAGCACAATTTTCAGACACAACTGTTAACTCCTGGAGCTCTCCCACCTTCCTCAATACAGATGATGAACTACAAGCACATGTGGTTCATTGGTTGCTTCCTGGTAATCCCATTGCACAAACTTACCTTACACCACCTTTGGGATGAGAGACAATAAAATGCACAAGCAAATATTTCCATAAATTTGGCATTCCTTTGATGAGAAATGTTTAGAAGTTCAAGATAATTCAACATTGGAAACACAAAGAAGAATATGTAGTTAAATTTGGACCACTGATAGACTAGGTTTACCTGTATTCAGAACACTAATTTATAGGTATATTAAGAGCAGGTAATCCACATTTTTTTAGTTATCTCTTTCTCAGTGAAATCTCTGTGAAAAACCAGAAGATTCCTTCCACAGTGACTTTGAACCATAAGTATGCTGACCTTTAAAAATCAACAACATTTTGTGGTTTTGTTCTTATCTTTCCTCTCACTGACAACTACGATAAAATTGTTGGCAGACTTTCAATATCTCAGACCATGGACTTTTAGTGAGTCACCAACTGTTCAGATACCTTGTTATTCACAGCCCAGTTTCTTCCTCAAGCCTCGAGGGACCACTGGTGTGGGAAGTGCAAGATGTTAGTTGTGATTCTGGATCTGGCACCTTTATAGTAAAGCTATCCTGCCTTGAGCCCTAAGGCAAGAGCAGCTGTATATCAAAGTGGCATTGAGTTTCACAGTTGCCATAGTGGGTATTTGACATATAAAATGCCTGTGCTGCTTTGGGGTCTCAAAATCAGGAAGGCTTTGAAGTCATATGAGAATATTACTATATTGGTTTTACCCAAAGAGCACAGGTTATTTGGAACAGAGCAACTCACTACCTTGAAAATTTTTTTTTTTTAGAGATAAATGCTGCTCCACCTCCACCTCAGTGGTTCTCAGTGTTTTTGTTATATTCTTGTAACATCAGAGATATTGGTGAATTCTGCTGTAGCAAAGATGCCAGCCCAAATCCATGAGCCTAGTGCTAATTGAATTTACCTGTTGAAATCAGAGAAAAACAATTAAACTTAACTCCTTTTACCTGAGATAGGAGGTTCAGGAGGGGCCAACAGAAAAGAGACAAACATTTTGTGTTGCAATCCTCATGATGAAGCCACATCCTTTCCCTGAGCTGTGGCAATGCTGCTGCAGGAGTCCTACAGGGAGAAGCATAAGGAACAGATCAAGTAAAGATTGCAGAAAAACAGTGCAGGGCTGCAGGATCCCATGAGGTGCTGGACTGTATGAGTTGGGGATGAGGGAATGAGACAGGCTTAGCAGGCTAAGTGTCTGATGAGCAAGGGGAAGAAGATGGGAATATAGAGATTTGTTGGGTGATATGTTATTCAAGTGGTCACAGTTATGTCTCTGGTTTGGTTAGAGAAAAGAAGTGTCAAAATGAGTTATTTTTTCACTATCAGCAAGGAACTAGGTCTTGAGGCAATATAAATCAGCATGTAGCTGCTGACCATGGTGACCTCATACAGGTTCACGCACAGTCTAGACCTCTGTGGCTAGTATGATGTCCCACTTCTGCTCTGGTTATGTCATTTTGTTACAATGAACTTTCTTTGTTCAAGAAAGCTTCTTTGGCTTCCTATGCAGATCTAGTAATCTGGTTGGTTTGATTTAGTTTGGTTTTTTCCCCTCAATTATCAAATCAAGACAAGCAGCAGGTGCTTTTGTACAGCTGACTAAAAAGGCTCCTCATGTTTTTGCTTTTGACACGTATAAACGAATGTAACCAGTTATCACCATTGAGAGGGACTACAGAGGGCATTCACTAGCAAAAAAGCAAGCAAAACTCTTACTGAAAATCCACCCTTGTGATTTTTGAATTTCATATTTGTGTCCATACAGTATTTGAAGTAAATTTCATCTTGTGATATTTAATATAGCCATCCCTAGCTCAATCACATATAATTAGCTTAGTAAGAGAAGAAACACTGACTTACTAAAGAATACAATAAATCTTTCAGATCTTTGTTTCAAAGCACAGTAAAATATGTCAGAAAGCCCCCTTACTTAAAAGTTTCTGGCCCAAGTCCAACCCCTGCAGCAGAGATAAATACATGGATGGGGATCACTCTTTAAAGCAGTATGTTCAGGAGTGATCTTTAGCCACAACAAAGCCAAGCATGACAAAGAGTTGTCCAACAAGTTTCCTTCTAATGGCCTCGCTTTGTATTAGGCCTTGGTGCTAGTGCCTATTAGCTGAGCAGAGTAAAGTTTCATGAAATTGCAACCTAGCTGTATAAAAATTGTGAGCCATTTAGATATTCCCCTGTTCTTCAGATGTATCTGTACACATAAACAAGAAAAAACAAATCTAGTGGCTGAGCGACCCTATCCTAGGACCTGGCTACTATATTGATTTCACAGATTAGAAGGTCTACTCCTTTTTGGTTTTCAGAGACATCTAAGCAGTGTGGCACACTTAGCATTGTCCATTAAATGTGATACGATAGAAAACTACTACTTGTTTCTACTTAAACCTCTAACAAATTGGGACCTTAAGCACAGAAGAGCCCTAAAATGCTAAAGCATGTCACTGTCTCAGGAGCACTCCACAACAGTAGGGTTGGAAGAGCCTAAAAATATTGTCTACTTGTTTGAATCTGGGATGGTTGAAAGACTAAAGGTAAAGATGAGCAAAAGACTTTGTAATTAAACTGCAATGTAAGAAAAAGTCATCCAGAGCCCTTAGAGAAACACGTTCCAGATCATCCATGAGCTCACAGGCTGCTTGGGGAAGCTGCCGATAAACTGCGTCTTGACTTGTACCCGCTCTGAGCTGTGTGACTCCTGTGGTCGCCTCCACCATGCCTATTCCTCTTTAAAACTCCACGCTGCTGTTTCTGATTTGCATGATTTGTAGGGGGGCTTTAAACTCAGAGCTCGGGAGGTGCTTCTTTGGTGGTGTGGGCCTCACCCACCCTTTGTGAACTGAAGTTTCAATACATCACCATTGCTGGCAAAGTCTCTGACCAGCTGCTGTATCAATGGCAGCTGGTGATCGATCACAAGCCTAGGGCAGTGTGGGAGAAAGAATGGATAGAAAAGCTTCAACTTAGCTGTCTTGAACTGACATAACTGTAGTTACCATTCTTTCAAGATTACTAGGCACATTTTTTTTCTTTAAGTGTCTCATCTGAGGCTCTTTGCATTGTTTCTCTAACAAATTTGAGGATATTTATGTTTCTATTAATCTTCTATTAAGACTTTTTCATCTTTCATTTTATGATCTCACATTGCCTTTCCTTTGACAAAACATCTCTTCTGTTAAGGCACTTCTCTGTGATATTTGGATAGAACAGACTTTGAAACAAATTAGGCCTTGATTAGTCCCTGCCTGTTTCTCTTCTCTCTTTCTGCCTTTCCTTAAACTTTTCCCAAAATTTCAGTGAAAGCACAGATTTCAACATAAAACTTGAATTCTTGAGATTAGAGCATGCAGTGAGGCTCACTACTTTTTATCTGAAATGGGGTAGACAGCAGGTAGCATTTAGTGCATTGCCTTTTTCTTGAAATTACTATCTTTATTTTTTTCTGCTCTTGTTCTGTACCTTTGCCATATCTGTATTGGAAAGCACATTAGAAAAAAGGAAAAAGGAGAATAAAATGGATTTTCTGCCTCTCTGAGGTAATTTCTTTCCCCCATTGGTTTCTGTGAAATGATCAAAGCCATTTACTGAGATAGCAGGAAAAGGTTTAAAATGTGTTTGTCCCCTGTTTTGCTGCTGCTCTGCCTGAGCCTCTTTTTCCCTTTGCCATTTACAGTATTGGTAGCTTCATTAACTAGGGGCTACAACAACCCAACCTGCCCTCATTCTCCAGGGAGTGTCCTCTCTCCCTGTCTTCAGCTACGTATTTTGCTACTGCTGCACATTCAAACCAGGCCCTTTTCCAGCTAGTTTGACCTGGTCAAACAACTAAGAGCAGCCCTAACCTGATGGTATATCCTGGTGGGAGGAATCCCTCCTGGGTGAATACACCCTCACCTCGCATAGAGCCTCCCCAGCCACTTGCTCCCCATCTTTGCTCACCCCATATAGCTGCTGGAACATGGATAAAGGCCGGGATCAGGGAGACAACTGTGGTTCCTAATGTCTTGCCCATTTGTAGCTGGTTCTTGGTCATCTGTTGGACCTATGGGTCATGCACCTTAGCCAAAAGTGGTCCTCATGTCAGTCAAATTTAAGCAGAAGAAACAGATAGTCCAGGTTTTGGAATGTGTGCACCTTGCTCTTTGCCCCCCTCAGCCCTTTTTGTCTCACCACCCAGGGACTAAAAGTTTTGCTACTGCTAACAGTAGCATCATACTTACTTCATGGGGTTGTACAATCACTGGCTTTTCTGTGTAGGAAAATATGGATTTGGATGCACTCCCAAAACACTGAAGGGAAGGATGCAAAGATAAGTCAGCTCAACATAGAAACCATGAGAACAATCATTCTCAGCCAGTGAAGGAAGCTGACAAAGCATAGTAATACCTAGAACTTCAGAAAATCAGTAGCAAAGTATGCTCTGACACCACAACATGTACCTGTCCAGTGGATTTTAATGAAACCAAAGCGATTATGAAAATAGAAGGATCTCCCAGCATCGTTTTGCACCAAGGAGGTACCCATTCCTTTGGGATCTGAATAAGAAATGCATAACTAGCTTCATCATGGCTAGGCTTCGCGAACGAAGATTTGGGAAGGGCTCTACCCATTTTTCATGCAAGCGCGTTGGTGGCTAAAAAGGCCAATACGAGAAAGGCAAGTCCGGTTGCAAAAGACACAGCAGAAAGACTCCTTAGATGGTATATTCTGCAAGGTTCGATTCTTTCTGCATTGTCTTTTCTCCTCAAGAGTGATCCTGCGTGCCTTCTCAAAAGCATCAGCAGCGTTATAAATGGTCTGTCTCCAGGCCTCCCGATTAGAGGCCAGAGTGGACCAGTTATGGTGATCAATATGCCCGAGGCTGAGTTGTTGCTTCAGGGAGTCCTTGTATCTTTTCTTTGGAGCTCCTCTCTTGCGGCAGCCAGTGGCAAGTTCACCATAGAGCAGGATCTTAGGGAGGCGGTGGTCCTTCATCCTAGAGATGTGCCCTGCCCAACGCAGTTGCGTTCTCAGGAGCATGGCCTCAATACTCGTAATTGCTGCCTGTTCGAGAACAGATGTATTGGTCACATAGTCTGACCAATGGATGTTAAGGATTGTACGGAGGCAGCGTTGATGGAAGCGTTCTAGGAGACGCAGGTGGTGGCGGTAGATGACCCATGATTCGGAACCATATAAAAGAGTAGACAGCACTATGGCTCTGTAAACACTGATCTTGGTGCTTTTCTTCAAGTGTTTATTACGCCAAACTCGTTTATGGAGTTTTCCAAAAGCACTGTATGCCTTCGCTAACCTATTGTCTATCTCCCCATCAATCTTACCATCTGAGGAGATGAGGCTGCCTAGGTAATTAAACTGTTGGACTGAATTGAGTTCTGACTGGCCGATGGTGATGTGGGGACGGTGGGGGACTTCCTGAGGTGCAGGCTGATGGAGAACTTCTGTCTTCTTTAAGCTGACTTCCAGCCCAAAGAGCTCAGCAGCCTCTGCAAAGCAGGATGTTAAACGCTGCAGAGCTGCTTCTGTGTGGGCAACAAGGGCGGCGTCATCAGCATAGAGCAGCTCCCGGACAAGATGGTTTAGGGTCTTAGTATGGGCCTTCAGTCGCCTTAGGTTGAATAGGCTTCCATCAGTACGATATCGAATGTAGATACCGTCCTGATCGTCGAGGTCTGCCGAGGCCCTTTGAAGCATCATACTGAAAAAGACTGTGAATAGGGTAGGAGCGAGAACGCAGCCTTGTTTCACACCATTCTTTATTAGAAAGGGCTCAGAAAGTGTGTTGCCATATCTGACTTGGCCGTGCTGATCCTCATGAAGTGAGATGATCATTTTAAGGAACTTGGGGGGACAACCTAAACGTTCCAAAATCTGCCAAAGACCTTTTCTGCTCACAGTATCGAAAGCCTTGGTGAGGTCGACAAAGGTTACATAGAGACCTTTGTTCTGTTCCCTACACTTCTCTTGCAGTTGTCTGAGAACAAATATCATGTCTGTGGTGCTCCTGTTGGCTCTGAAGCCACACTGACTTTCAGGTAGAATTTCTTCTGCTATAGCGGGTATTAGTCTGTTCAGGAGTATTCTTGCCAAGATTTTGCCAGCAATGGAGAGCAGAGTAATACCACGGTAATTTGAACAGTCTGATTTAGTACCTTTCTTCTTATACAAGGTGATGATGACTGCATCACGAAGGTCTGAAGGTAGTTCGCCTAGTTCCCAACAGCGCACCACAAGCTCATGAAATTTAGCATGGAGTGCAAGGCCCCCATGTTTCCAGACTTCAGGTGGGATTCCATCAACCCCAGCTGCCTTGCCGATTTTCACCTGCTGTATGGCCTTGAGGGTTTCTCCTAGAGTGGGGGCAGTATCCAAATCGTATTTCACCGGTTGTTGTGTGATGGACTGAATTGCTGAGTCTTGTACTACACGGTTGGTACTGAAAAGAGTCTGAAAGTGTTCAGACCATCTATTCAGAATGGAGGTTTGATCTGTCAGAAGCGTTTGACCATCTGCACTGAGTAGTGGGCTTTGGACTTGGTATATAGGCCCGTATGCTGTTTTCAGGGCCTCATAGAATCCTTTGTGATCCCCTGTATCTGCACATAGTTGAGTTTTTGCAGCTAGATCGGTCCACCATTTGTTCTGGATGTCACGGAGTTTCTGTTGGAGTTTGCTGCAAGCAAGACGAAAGGCTGTTTTTCTAGCGTGACAGGAAGGCAGTGCAAGGTGTGCTTGGTGGGCGGTTCTCTTCTTCCTCAACAATTCCTGGATTTCTTGATTATTTTCATCAAACCAGTCCTTGTTCTTCTTGAGGGAGAACCCTAAGGATTCTTCAGAGGATTGCAGGATGCTACTTTTAATATGCTGCCAAATTGTTTCGGGAGAGGAAACTGCAGAATCTGTGGAATGGTTATCAAGCTTAGTTTGAAGATTTGCCTGGAATCGTTCTCTTACTGTGGCTGATTGGAGATCGTTAACTTGGAGTCTTCTCCTTGGGATACTGCCCCTCTTGGGTTTGAATTTGAGATAAAGGTTGAGTTTACAGCGCACAAGCCGATGGTCTGTTTGACATTCTGCGCTGGGCATCACGCGGGTATGGAGGACATCGCGGACATCTCTCTGTCGCACCAAGACATAATCAATGAGGTGCCAATGCTTAGACCTGGGGTGCATCCAGGTTGTCTTCAGACTATTTTTCTGCTGAAAGATAGTATTGGTGATGGTGAACTGTTGCTCCGCACAGAATTCTAGCAGAAGTCGACCATTATCGTTGCAGTTTCCAACACCATGCTTGCCTAATACTCCTTTCCAGGCTTCAAAATTCTTACCTACTCTGGCGTTGAAATCACCAAGGATAATGATCTTATCATCTGCGGGCACCTTTTGGGTAAGACAGCGCAGGTCAGTGTAAAATTTATCTTTTTCAGCAGGGTCAGCTTGGAGAGTTGGGGCATATATACTGAAGATGACAACGTGTTGCTTGTTGTTTAGTGGAAGGCGTAGGGAGATAATGCGGTCAGAGTGACCTGTCGGCAGATTTTCGAGTTTAGGGACAATGGAGTTTTTGATCATGAAGCCGACACCTGAGAGATGTTTTTCGGTTCTGGGCTTACCTGACCAGAAGAGCGTGTAACCGGCACCATGTTCTCTGAGGCTGCCTTCCTCGTGAAGGCGAACTTCACTGAGAGCAGCAATGTCGATGTTGAGACGACCCAGTTCATGGGCAATTAGGGCAGAACGTCGCTCAGGACGTCCACTATTGGCAGAATCGAGCATGGTTCTGATGTTCCAACATGCTAGAGTTAATTTGAGTACACCTTTGGAGGCAGGTGCATGCCTTTGTCTTTTGCTCTTTGTGCGACCGCATTGGAAGAAGATGCCCGTCGGTCTGCGGTTAACCAACCGGGTGAAGGTGGAGATGAGCTTTGTTTAGGCCACCTTTTCTAGGCCCCTCTCCGAGTGGAGCAAGCAGTGCTGTCCTTGAAAAGGCTGCTTGGTCGTTCAGGGTGCTGCCCCAAGAGACTCTCATCTCCGTCAGTCTCAAATGACCAATATCCTGAACCGCCTGTATGCAGGGTTGAGTCTGCGGCTCCCAGTGCATCTTTCACCTACCGTTTCGACCCTCGCCCGTCGCTACAGGACTTTTTGCATGTGGGTAAAGCCTTCAAGCCTGCGCAATGGATTTTTTAGGTGAGATGCAGTATGCGCGGAACTGAACCCACCCTTTAATCCTGAGGTTCATCTGCCAGGGCCGAGCAAGCTTGGACGGTGGCAGCGAGGTCCTCAGGACGTAGGTTTGATTAGAGTGACCTTCTCTGAGATGGATGGCCTTCCAGGGCTAAGCGAGCTCCATCTGCCCGGGTTTGGGATGAGAGTTGTCCTTCTCCTAGGATGACTGCCAGAAGGCTAATGAGCTCATCCTGCCCAGGGATGTAGTTTATCTGGTCCTATGGTTTTGACCTGTCTGGCATGGGCGACCCTACCGAAGGCATGAACCCTCGCCAGCATAGCTCGCAACCACACAGGGGTACATAGGCTACGTTCCTGTTAGAACGATTTGGGCAAGTCATTTATTTCCAGTAACAACCCTTTGTCCTGCCCACTCTTTCAGGTTGTAACAGAGCAAAGCAAATATATCCAGAACATGCCAAACCTGGGCAGTAGCCGCAGGAGAGCCAAAACGAAAGAAATAAATAGACAAACAAACAAACAAACTGACCAACCGTTCTGGCCCCCGTACCTGTCCAAGGCTGAGGTACCTTACAAGGCCCCAGCCTGGCCGGGACCCCCATCAATCAAAAGAACCCTCTGTCCACCCAGACCTTATCCTTCCCCCACTGTGTTACCACAAATTCCAGGTGCACTGCTCACATGTGATGTGATGTTTCATACGGGACAGCCCTGCTCTCCCACCCGCCAGTCGAAGGACCCCCATGGCCAGCTCAACACCCATCCCTCTGCTCCGTCCCCCTCCCCCTCTCCCTCCCTCCCCAAACCTGGAACGGCAAACCTCTGTGTGCTCCGAAGCTGTGCTCTCATCTTCCACGGGGGTGCAGTGCTTGCTGGCAAGGCTCCCCCTTTCTCTCCTTTCTCCTGCCGCGGCCTTGCCTGGGGTCCAAAACCGCGCGCGCAGAGCACGCGCAGCGCGAAGCCCCCGGGCCGGCGCGGCGTCCTGCACAGCGCCTGCAGCAGCCCCCGAGCCTAGCGGGGTCCCGCATGGCGTGTTCAGGGCCACCGGCCAGGCGCGGAGCTCCGTGCGCGCAGCGCGGAAGTTTCCCGTCCGCGCGAAGCCCCCGGGCCGGCGTGGCGTCCATAACTAGCTTATTGTATAAATAATAGAAGTACTGTAAGAGGTGATATCAATAATAGATACTGTGACAGCACTTCTGATGCTAATAGATGCACTAGAAGAGGTAATAGCAATCTCACCTCCCTGTTGATGCTGGCAACCCTATCACAGTCCTGGATGAGCCCCTACATGGATCGTGGCACAGTGCACACATCCCAACAGCAGCCAGGTTCATTGTTGTTGTGGTCTGTACAGCTTTTTTAGGATTTTTGTAGAAGTAAACAATTCTATTGATGATTTCTGCTGCCAGGTAAAGGAATACTCATGTAGGCATTCTGCTCCATCTCAAGATAAGACAAGATACATAGATGGTGCTGTCCACATGTACTGCATGGGATCCACACTGAGGCATCTCTGCTGCAGCTTAACAGTTGAGTTGGTCCAAGTGGGCACTGAGTGGTACACTCCTACACGTCTCTGCTGGAACAAGCTAAGGAGAGTCATGGGATGGGCTCAGGTTATTTGTCAGTTACTCATGCTAATATACAGGTCTCTACAACCAAGGTCTGTGGTCATTCTCTGCCTAGATTTGGCTAGAAATCAGTATATCCTATTTACCAGGTCTTCTGCAGGGGCCCACTACACAGGTCCAGTCAATCACAGGAAATCTGCTCTATCCCAAAAACCCACTGCCCCTGTGCACAGCAAAGAAAATGTCATATTCTGTTAAAATCAGTTAGTTACCAGATTTTTTTAGCTGAGACAAAAAAAGGACTGGAGAGAAAGCTACAATCTACAATCTTGGTACATTTAAATGTTTCCTTGATTTTGTAAACAAGGTTGAATTGACAGGTAAAATAGCAATGTCCATTCTGTGTGCCTTTGAAAACAGCTGTCAAGGAAGATTAAAACCAACATTATTTCCAGTCTAAAAATAAGCTCTGAAAAGCACTGTACTGCATGTATCTCTCAGTCATGCTTTGTTCCTTTTGCACTGCTCTGGCACAAATGGGCTCTCAAACCAGCTGATAACACTGATCACCTTGGAGGGAGAGATAAAAGGAGTCTCTTCCTGAGAAGACTGAGAACTCTTCTCCCTGTTATATCTTGTCTCTCTGTTTTAGTTTTAGTTTAATTAAATGGGAAAGTTTTTGGAGAACTTTTTCATACTATCACATGGTTCAGAGCATGGGGGACCCCCCCTCCCAGCAACTGAGCTGGGCCAGGGAGGGACTATTCCCAGCATCTCGGGACCTGCCGGAAAGCGAGGGGGTTCCTGAAGTGAAGCATCAAGAGAACTCAGGAAACAGGATAAAATCCCCAGTGCTTCCAGAACTTTTACTGCCTTTTTCCTGGGTGTCATTGCCAAGGGAAAGGACCACCACAGTCCCCACGCTGGATACTTCAAAGAGCTCCCCTGGGTCACGCCGGCCCTACCATTGTCTCTCCACATGATTTGCTACATCAGAACCCACACAATGCTTCCCTTTTTCTAGTCACCTAGGACTTTACCTGACTGCCATGGAGAGTGGCAGTCAATTCCCTCAGGACTCTGGGATGCATCTCATCAGGTCCTATACACTTATGTACAGGTTCCTCAGGTGGTCATGAACCTGATCTTTACTTACAGTGGGAGGGACTTTGCTCCCCCAGTCCCCGTCCTGCTGTCCATCCACTTATAGTGTGGGAAGAGAGGTTGCTATTGAAGACAGAGGCAAAAAAGTTGTTGAGTGTCTCAGCCTTCTTCTCATCCATTGTTAGCAGTTTACCAGTACTGTTTATCAGGGGGCTACACCTTCTTTGATCTTCCTTTTCTGGTTAACATACCTGTAGAATCCCTTCCTGCTACTCTTTGGGTCTCTTGCCAAGTTCAGTTTCAGCTTTGCCTTGGCCTTCCTCACCCCATCCCTACAGAACTGAACTTCATCTCTATACTCTTCCCAGGTCATCTGTCCTTGTTTCCACTGCCTGTGCATTTGCTTCTTTCCCTTTAGTTTGACCAGCAATTCCCTACTCAGCCATGCTGGTCTCTTGCCTTTCTTGCCTGACTTCTTGCTCTCATGGATTGTTAATTTTATTGCTATTTTCATAACTTTTTGCGTAGGAAAAAAAGTGCTATGAATTAAACATTATTTTGCTCCGGAGACCACTACTAATTCCACCTACAAATGTCAGTGCTCTCCACATTTGCATCTTCTGAAAGACTTTCTGAGCAGTGCTGGGTATTTGCAGTATTTTATGGCCACTTACAAGACCATCAGCTACCAGATTCTTGTGGACACTATGGGTCGAAAGAGAAGTAAAACCTAAAACTCACTGAAGCCCAGGACTGCTGTACTGGTTTAGCTGTGCTCTCCCTTGAAACACACTCTGGTCAGACCCCTGGAGAGCCGCCTTGGTAGGGCTGACCCTGAACTGGGAAATGGAGGAGACTTCTGCTTCCCTTTAGTCATCTGGACAAGGACTACAGCTTCCTTCCTGCATGGGCTTGGCAACAGCAGTACCATTCCTTTTCACACTCCCAGAAGGTCAATGTTAGTCTATTCAGACCTTCTCAAAGCTATTTTAATTTTACTTGTGACATTTCTACTGAGGCCACATTTGGACAACAATTGCGGAGAGCAGTGAGTCAATAATTCTGCAGTGGTGGCTGTCCCTCAGTGCTGGTACAAACCCTTCTACACCACACTACTCAGAACATGTGGAAATTGTGTGCAGTCTTCCAGGAAGCTTTTAATTTGCTATTCACTTCCAGCAGCAGGAAAGGCTTTCTCAGATTTCCATTTTAAACACTGATTCAAATGAACTCTGAAGATTATTGTTTTCTTATGCAAAATGAATGAATAATTAATTGTCATGGGATTTCTCTGTGTAGTTCCCACCCCTGAGGAATCTGAGCAACTGATGGAGTCCTCGAGATTGAAAACAATTCATAAACACAGGAAACGCAGTCTCTGGATGAATATTCATGATTATTCCACATCATATTCTGCCAATAATCCCACTGTTGCTACACCATGCATTCAAAGCTCATAAGTTATGGCACACGTGATGATGATACATTTCAAATAATGCTCAAGATATAATCACCTGTAATTTCAATGGAATAGCTGGCAATGATACATACCCAGTATGTATTATGGTAGCTGTAAGAGAGTCATTAGGATGGGATGCAAATATTTGAAATGAACAATGTACAAAATTTGGCAAGTGCTAATAGAACGAGCTGAATAAACAAAAAGAAAAAGAAAAAAAAAGGATGTGCACTGTTCCCACAATGGAACTGTCTGAAACTATTCAGACCCTGAAAATTAAGCTCTATGTGTTGTTCAGGAAACACAGTAGTGTTACCACCCACGTATTCCAACCCAGCCTCTCTCAACAGCATTCTCACTGGTACTGCCTATACAGGTGTCCCAATAGCATGCTTGTTCATCTGCCCTGTCAGTTTATAATGGGTATCTTGGGATAGACCCAGACTAAACTCAAGAAAAATAAAGACAGGATTAGTTTACAGTTATCTATGATCTCTCCACCCCTGCTTTTCTTTGCTGCAGCCTCCTCATTATTTTTCAGCACAGACTCCTGTACAAAAACCCTCAGTATGGAAACAGCTTGTTTAAATACGGAAAGTATTTTGTGGCTTGTTGGTATCCTTGCTCTAATGTTAAAGGACATCCCCTTCTTATCTGGAAAGTGCGTAGCTATATTGGGTTTATTCCAGTTCCTAAAGAACGTATGTATTGATAACACTTACGTAGAAGTATAAATTTGTTTCAGTGGCTTTTGCAAGATGAATGAACTCAAATTCCCAGAACATCTTGGGTGTTTCTTCCAAGCTGTAAAGCAAATCGTAGGAAAGCCTTCAAAAAGGCTTGAAGTTGCTTTCAATGAAGACTCAAATATTTGACAAATTTTCTCAGCAATCAGTTCCCTGATGACATAAAACCGATCTGAAAATCTTACAAGCACTGTCACTGCAAAGTCAGCAATACAAGCCTGTGATACCACAAAGCCAGCTCATGATATTTTGAGGGCTGCACCTCACAGTAGAAAATGAAGATGGATATATATAAAAAAAGCATTTTTAGAATTGAACAGAAATAAAATTTCTCCGTCTATTACAAAAACAGTGGACCAACAAAGCAGAGAGATCCAAGAAATGTCCCACCTGAAGGGAAAAACCTTCCATTTTCACTCACAGTTTTGTAGATACCAGAGAAACCAGGGAAGAAACTTCGTAGAAGTTCCAGAGATATGAAAAACTCCTGACAACTTTTTTCACATTCACAAACATAATCAGTGAGAAGACAATAATTCACAAATTCTGATATTCCTGATGAACATGCTGAACTTGCTGGAATTTACTCAGCTCTGACTTTCAGAACACTGCCTTTTGACTTTGAGAGTAAAGCTTGGATAGGTCATCAAGTAACCCAGACTGGTTCATCTGTTTTCCTCTACCCTCTTTCTTAACACATTTCTTGAAAAACATTAAATGTACAGACTGTGAGGAATCAAAATATCAGGTACTACTGCATACATCTGCAAAAATATCTCAGTGAATCTTTCGGAAAAAAGGAAATGGATCCTGGCTGAATTTCTTACGAAGCAGAATTGCAAAATGTGTTTGAGTCCTATAGGAATTTCTCTCTGCTCAAGAGCCTGGTGTTCCAACTGCTATTTTGGGGAGCCTAGGTGAGCTTAATCTGGGGACTAGGTCACCATCTTAAGTGGTTCCCTCCCTAAGGCAGGTATCCTAAATGCAGCTATTATTCTCTTGTGGAGATTATGCTTTTTGTGAACAGGAACTTGTTTTAGACAGTTCACTTAAGCCTGGGAGGAGAAGCCTCACTGGTTTTGTCATCATTTCCAGAAGCAGTGTCCCTAAAGATGGCACATTTGGGATGACATTATTTCATATTGCTGCACAGCAGCAATTGGCACTCCAGTCTATCATAGATACTACTTGAGCAATATAAAATATTAGCCAACACCCACAAGGAGAAACAGATTTGTTTTCTATCCCAAAATATACCTCTGCAGAGTACCTGTTGTATTGCATTTAATCTAATTTTCTGTAGGAGGCATGAACCCCCTCGCTGCAATCAAGCTATTTTTTAAAAGAGATTGGTGATTCAGCTGAGTGGTGACTAAACCACTGACAAATTTTCCTGTCAGCTCATGTGTATAAAAAGATGCTTTGCTGGAATGTATCATCTGCAGATACCACTATTTTGCTGGACTGAATGGGGGTTTGCCAGTCAAATTATATTACTTTATTTCTTATTTAAAATTATATG